TCCTACAACTTATTCCTTAAGTATCCAGGATGTTCTCTATATCAGATTGTTTGGGAGTTAGTAAACTAGTGTATTCGCTCCTTCTCAAGATCCAGTTCAATAAAGACCTGTCAAGATATTGCCTTTTGTAGTTCAATAATTATTAGAATGAATTACCAGATGCCTTTACTTATTCTGAAAGCAATTACCTGGTCTATTAAAAAAAAAAATCTCTTTCCAAATCAATTCCCATTAGATCTTCCACCAATCTATATGTTAATATTTAAAGTTCCTCATTAGTACAAAGTCATCTAACTTTTCACACTCATGAATCTCCTCAAACATCTGCAGCTCAGGTTTAGCATTATGAGCATTTTCATTGTTGTCTTTGTCATTGATTTTGTCATTGTTGTTGTCAAGGAGGACTCCATTCTTTTGGAGATGTTTCCTTAGTTTGTCTTGTATAAAGTCTTCTGAATCCTTCATACCTCACCATCTCAGCTATGCACTGAAAGTAATGTTATTTTTTCTGTTTTGGCACCGTGGAATGAGAAAAGTTCAGGAAAATGCCCTGGCTTACCTCTGAGTTACTTGAAACACATGGAAACCCAATGCTTAGCATTCTGTATCTTCATTAGTCCTTGGAAATGTTCAGCCATCTTTGCCAAAACCATTCTGTCTATTAACTAATGAGGGCCAAATCCTTGGATGTTAATGGAAAAATCTCAGTCTGCCTCTCTTGCTAGTCACAGATTTATTGTACAGAACCCAATTGGTAATAATCTTGAGGAGCTAGGTACATCTCCAGTTCCCTTCCAGCAAGCACCTTAGATTTTCTAAGTTAAAGAAGGACACATTCATTTACCTAATTATCCACAGTCAATGCTTGGCTTCCCAAGGACGATTCATTCAGTTGGTCTTTGCACTGTTATCAGCATAAACATCCACCCCAAATTTTTGTACATTTGTCTTCTGTTTGTGGATGAGAAATTTATAAACCATATAGACAAAGACAACAACTTCACATGCTGGTCTAGCACCTTATTAGTTCTTATCAGAACATTAGTATTGAAATGGGAAGATGAGAGATATTGCAATGGATAAACGACTCCCCCCAAGATTTGTCTCAGTATTTATCATGGTTCATGTTTTATGGGTGAAGAAACAGAGTGAGATCAGAGTGGTTGTTAGGACATGGGCAAATAAATATAATATGAATCACTGGAAGTTGGAAAATAGAAGTTATAAACGCCATATTTTTTTATCTAGATTATCCACCTTGGTTGGAGCTGAATAGGAAGAATTTGCAGGACAGGACAATGTTTTCAGAAAGATTGACTGTTATAATATATTTTAAAGCAAAAGGAGGTGCCTAAGAATTAAATTAAGAATTTAGGCAAGGATTCCAAAGGATTAACTATGAGCAGTGCTGTTGTTAATCTAGAAACAGTGGGAAGGTAAATTAAAAATTGAGGTAGGATTCCCAAGGGCTCTTTGAAGTTGAAAAGGTGTATTTTGGAAAAGAATTAGCTTAAATAATGTATAAGAAAATAAAGTGAAAAAACATACTAAACCAGTACATTCTTTGGGCTAGGTACTTTACATGGTCTCATTTAATTGTCAAAATAAGCCCAGAGACGGGAAATTGGAGGGAGAGATGAACCATGAGAGTCGATGGACTCTGAGAAACAAACTGAGGGTTCTAGAGGGGAGCGGGGAGGGGGGATGGGTTAGCCCGGTGATGGATCAGGGTTAAGGAGGGCACGTACTGCATGGAGCACTGGGTGTTATACGAAAACAATGAATCATGGATCACCACATCAAAAACTAATGATGTATTGTATGGTGACTAACATAACATAATAAAATAAAATTTTTTAAGAAAAGCGCAGAGGTAAGAAAAATTAGTTCATTTTGTCCCCCCAAAAAGCTCAGACTCAGGAAACTAAAGTAACCAGCCCAAGGGCACATAACTCATGCTTTTTCATCCATTTCACATCATTTCTATGAATAACCAATCTGTTCAAATATTCATGGAAGTTGAACTTAATGTTGGTATCCTTATAATGTGAGTTAAGATTCAGTATTAACTTCGAATTTCAGCATTGGATCATTAATCAACCATGAATCGGTCAATAACACTATTTGACTGTCCATGTCTAATGTGGACAAATGATGGGGATGTTGTGGAAAATACTATCTTATTCCCGAGATGGATAGCTTCTGAAAAAGAAGACAGAATGTGCATAAACCTATAGGAAAATGTATACACCTATAGAAATATGGATACACCCAGAATCATTTTGTAAGTCAAAAATTAGAAGGAGGTGACTGGTGATAGATGTTGGAGTGACCTGAGTTAAGGTAGTCTAGATATGTTTATGTCTACAAGTCAAATTTTGTAACATTTAAACATGATATAGGTGTTCGCTATGTGCCAGACATAATTGAGCATCATTAATCCTCCTATCAACCTTGTAAAGTAGGTACTAATATTATCCTGATTTTACTGGTGATGAAACTGAAGTAGAAAAAAGTCAAGCATCTTGGCTAGTTTTCCAGAGCTGGTAAGTGGCGGATCTGGGATTTGAACTGAAGTAATATGAGAACTGCTGCTCTTACATTAACCTTCTACCTTCAATGTTGGTATGTCATGTTAAGTAGGCAGTCTATGTTTACCTTAGGGTATAAAGATTATGATTCCCTAGTCCCTGACATACATCTTATATGTGAACATACTTCACCATTATTCTTAGAGGAATAGATTCATTAATTTATTTGACAGATATTTACTGAATACCTACAATGTGGCATACACTGCTCATGCTGGGGACAGAACAGTGAACAGGACAGACAAGGACCCTGCTTTGTCACACTCACAGTACTAGGCACTCAATACATGTTAACAATGCAGTACATGCATTTTAATTTCAAATTCAATTTGAAATTTTAAATTCAAATTTAAATTCAAAAGTAATATATGTTTTCATTGGCTTGTATCGATTGTATCGATTACCTACATCACTCTCCTTAATTCAAATACAGATACAGATAACATACAGTCTATGTTAACAATGCAGTACCTGCATTTTAATTTCAAAAGTAATATATGTTTTCATTGGCTTGTATCGATTACCTACATCACTCTCCTTAATTCAAAATTACCCTTAAAAGCTACCCTTAAAAATTAAGACCATTTTTCCCAAAATTCTATTAATTAGAAAGGTTTGGAAGATTCCTATGTACAGCCAGAAGAGCAGTTTAAACACTCTTACAGTCTTAAAATGATTCTCTGAATGGGGCTTTAAATCATGTGCCTTTGTAGTAGTTACATTTTCATAATATGGTAAGCCACTCTTGTCCATTAAGGAACCGTTTCCTCCCACTGCCCCAAATTGCTTATTATACATGTTGTTCAGTGTCTTTTATCTAGTAAGTAGTTATTAAATGATGTTTAATAACATGTGGTGGATAAGGTAACCCTCATTAAAGGCAATTCACACTGCCATTGCTTCTGCCAAATACTAATCAGTTGCCAAATTTAAACGGCCTTATTAGCCTACCAATGTCGCTTTTTCCTGATGATAAAGACCCACCTCTAAAAATCAAGTACAACCCACTAAAATGAATGAATATTCCAGAAACCTGCTAAAGTAATCTACATTTTAATGAGACAGGAAGGGCTCTACCAATATTTTCATCCCCTTGTCTGTAACATAACGCTTCCTTACCTGCTCTCTAGAGTGGAAGATGTGAGCAGTGTCAGGCTCTGCTAAGGTCCTCCCCCACCTCCACCCCCAAGTTTGCTGCCTAAGCTTGCACGCAGGGGCCCACATGGCATCACGAAATGGGTTCTTTACATATATGCAGCTACTTACGGAGCTATGCACACGCGTGTATGCCCATGTAGGGGTGTGTTTTGTCCGCATGTGGTGTGAGCCCACGTTGGTCTCCCTCTCCTTTCCCCTGACCTGGGGGAATCCCGGCAATTCCCCAGAACTCGGGGAATAGCGAGATGAGGCAAATAGCCCTTTTCCGTTCCCTTGTGGCAGGCACCGCTGGGTGCCAGGAACCTGCAATGCCTCCTCTCACAAGCAGCTTAAGGGAGACTGACTGAAGATGAGCAAGTGGAGAATACATGAAGGAGGAAGGGGCCATGGTACAAGAGATGATTGCTTCTGGAGCTACTGAACTATGATTGTGTTTCTACATGCAAAGCCCTAGGAAGCTAGAGGGGAGGCAGAGAAACTCCGAATCTAAAATGCTCTGAGATTATTTTTCTAACAGTGCCTGGAAACCACTGCTTGGCGTGTGTCCTGCGCGGGGTTAAGGAATCCAAGGGAGCGCCGGGTGAAACTCGCAGCGCGGCATCCGGCACTTTGAGCTTCGGTGGGGTTTGCGCTCCGAAGACGCGGCCACGCATCATTTTCCCAGGCGTTGTGCGGGTTTCTTAAACAGCCCAGTTGCTGCCTCAGAAAGGAGTTTCTAGAAGCTCCTTCTCTGCTGCCTCCCCTCCCCCTCCCCTTTTTCGGTTTTTACCCCCGCGAGGAGCTTCTCGAGCTCCACTGCGTCCGCCCTCCGAGGGGCACAGGTGCCGCTGTCCCGGCTTCTGCCGCCTGGTCCGCCGACGCCGCCTCCTCCGGGCGGGCCCGGGGGACTTCACCAGGCGCTGCTGCAACGTGAACGGTCTCTTGCTGGGCGCTGCGGCCGCTGCCGGTCGCCCGGGACTCCCCGCCCTCCCGCGCGACCCCGCGCCCGGGCGGGCGGCGCTTGCGGCGGGCGGGGGGCGGGGAGGGGAGCGGGGGCTCGTCTGGGGGTAGCCGCCTCCTCTGCAGCCTGCTGGCGCCTCGAAACCCGAACCTGCCTCCGCCTCTTCCTCCAGCGACTCCATCCCTCCTCCCGCGCCTCGTCGTCCCGCCGCCCCCGCCGCCGCCGCGCCCCCGGTGGCTGCCTCGGCGGACCCGGGAGGGGGCCCGCCGCGTCCGCCGCCCGCTTGGCTTGGCCCGGCCCGGGAGGCGTGCATGCCCCTGCTGCCCGCCGCGCTCACCAGCAGCATGCTCTATTTCCAGATGGTGATCATGGCAGGGACGGTGATGCTGGCGTACTACTTCGAGTACACCGACACGTTCACCGTGAACGTGCAGGGCTTCTTCTGCCACGACAGCGCCTACCGCAAGCCCTACCCGGGCCCGGAGGACAGCAGCGCCGTGCCCCCCGTGCTCCTCTACTCGCTGGCCGCCGGGGTTCCCGTGCTCGTGGTAAGCCCGGGGGTGCCCGCCCTCGCGTCGACTCCCTTCGGTCCCCCCTCACGTTCAGGGTGGAGGCCCCGCTGAGGGTCGGGGCGCGGCGGCTTTGCCTTCTAAGTTCCTCCAAGTTGTGGGCAGCCCCTTCCCCAGAGGACATTCTTCTAGGGCGCGTCAGGGCTGGGTGCGAAGGAAGCCCGCATCTCTCCCCCACATGCCGCCCCCGCAACCCCCCTGCTGTGGCTGCAGGGTTAGGGTGACTGGGAGGAGGAGGATGGGAGGGATGGGGGCTTTGCGAAGTGATGGATGGGGGTCGGGGCCGGGGAGGAGGTGAGCCCTCGGATGAATTTTTACTTCATCCACTCAGTGGCCTTGCTCCGCCGGGCGCCGGCTCTCTGCGACTGGAAGCTGAGGAGCAGCGGGCCAGCGAGGAGGAGAGGGCATCAGTCCCAGGGGTGTGGAAGGGACTCCTGCTTCCCGAGTCCTGGCGCGCATTCCCGTTTTACCACCCCCTTCCCTTTCAGATGAAAGTGCCAGGGGGACTAAGCTGACCAGGGAACAAATATCTAAAAAAAAAAAAAAAAATTGAAAACTGCTAAATGAAGAGGCTCCGACAGCAGTGCTCGCTGAAAAGCAGGAGCTGTGTCCAAATGACAAGATACATTTAAAGGCTGCTCCACTCTCTGGGCAGCTGAAGTCCTTTTCTCTGATAGCTTCGCTTAGAATGCCTTGTGGATTTATGGACTCTGTGTGTGTGCGTGTGTGTATACAGGCGCACGCACACACGTACACACAGATCTACATATGTAATTATTAAGATGGTGATCACATAATAATTTACATATGTGAATATGGTATAAAGTTATTGGTAGGAAAATTGGTGGTGTTTCTTCAGAAAATGTTATGGTTCCTCTGTTATTGTCAAAGTATTGGAGGTATCCTTCCAATGGTACGGCTTCTCTCTTTCAACTCTCAACAGATAACAAATAGGAAATTAGGAAATGAAGAGGAAAGGGAAAAGGAAGTCTTATTTCAGTGGTTGAATGTGTAAATTTCACAAATGAATGTTGAGAACATCAGTGGTATCTACTGGGTTTGGATATTCATGTTTATTTTGATTTTAGGGGAAATGATTTCATATTTTTCCAAATAATGAGAGGTTCCTAACACACATAATGGAATTCTACCAAGGAACTTCTTGGTAACTTCAAAGTAACTTCGTTTATCACAGGTACCATGATAGTTGACTTTGAGTTCAGCTCCAGCATACTGGTTTGAAAAGTGTCAGACCTTGCACCAGAAAATGTTTTGTTTTTTAATATTGAAATGTGCTAAAAATCCACCTTCGTGTTTGTGTTCTCTCTCTTCCATTTGAAAAGCTGATAGAGGAAAGAAAATTTAGTCATTTTGGGGAATTCTTTTTCCTTTCTGCAGACGGGTTCTCAGGCACATGTTTTCTGGCAGACTGAATAGCTCAGAGATTTTTCTGGGATTTTTTGTTTTTAAAGAAAAAAAGTCTGTCACTTTCAGGTCCCTGGTTTGGCTGTAACCATAATCAATAATGTCTGTAACTTGTCCCTTGGTAATTACCATTCTGTGTCTTATTTAAATGAGGTAGCACCTTTCAGATCCTACCCAGCCATCCGTGGTGGCAGGTGCCAGTTAGAGACGAGAACATATTGGCCCTAAGATGTTGATTATTTCCCACTTAGGGGGAAGCTAGAAGGAGAAAGGGAATCAGTCATTATTGAGTGCCTACTCTGCTGGGCACACGAGCTATGACTGCATTTATTCTCAGAGCGTTCCTCTCCAGATGACATTTAAGGACATTGAGGTTCAGATAATAAAATGGAGACACCTGAAAATAAAAATGGGTGGGTGTGATGTTTGTATGCCCATAGGACTGATGCCAAATGCCATCCTACTTCTACTACATCCAAAGAACACGTTCTGTGGGAGAAGACGAGAGATGGCTAATGCGGCAGGCATACAGAATAAAAATTGAGGGTTTTTTAAAGGGAGGATCTGACTTGCTTTCCATGTTTTGACATTCAGTTCTTTAGTTGCAAGACAAAGAATTGGGGGGGGGGCTCCATCTGAAGAGAAGGAAGTGTTGGATCCTAAAGGCTCGCGGTGCTGCTGGCCCTTTTTTCCCCTTCTGCTTTTCCAAATAGTACGCTCTCGCAACGGGAGAGGTTGGGAATGGTAATGGCCTCTCTGCCTTTCCATTCTTCTGAAGAACACTGGCTTAGCACAGTCACTTGACATGAAAATAATATTATTAGTAATAATAACACTAGTCGTGCCCATCATTTGTTGAATTATATACCTTATACCTGTCTACCATTTGCATTATCTATGAAAGCAGTTGTTATTATTGTCACCTAATATTTGCAAAAACTGAGGCTTACAAAGATAAAGTAACCTGCCCAAGGTCTAGGGCTAAAAATGTTATACTCAGAATTTTAACCCTACTTTGTCAAATTCCCAAGTGGAGGTCTTTTCTATTATAACATACAAATGCAGTTTACTAATAAGTTATTCTTCTAAATAAACGCCTCGGTCTCTTTCCCCATCTCTTACACTTCTTGGACTGTAGTGATAAAGGTTCTTCATACTGTATATTTTTTAACCTTCAAAAGTCATTTTTTAAGTCTTTAGATTAATTTGAAAACTAGCTCTCCTTACTACCACAAGCTGTGGTTTTGTTTCATACTTGCTAAATTCATTTATCTAGAAATCAAAAGCAATATAATCTTTTCAGTTTTATCACTTTTATGTAGTGTTGATTTGGAGCCCAGGTTTGGAATCTAACAAATTTGGATTCAGATCCAAAGTACATCCTGCTGCTATGTTAACAGTTGGGAACTCTACTTGCTGTGTAACCTTGAACAACTTATTTAAGCTTGTTAAGCCTCAATTTCCTAAGTCACAGGATTTTGTATATTCAATTAGATATAATATATAAATGTCATACTTGGCCCATAGTGGATACTTTATAAGAGATAAGAGATCAGTAAATCATTGGCATTATTAATGAAATGATAATTCAGTAAATGTTTATTGAATTCCTGTGTTGCAAGCACAACATCAGACAGAGTAGAGGTTACAAAGGAGACTTCAGAAATAAACCAAATTCCTGAGGCTTTTACTGCCTAATTTGGGAAATTAGGTAAATATGCCAAGGTCATAATATAAATCACCATAATAGAAGAAGTGTGTACACACACACACACACACCACAAAGACCTCTGGTGGTTCAGAAGAGGACAAGCTCGTTTTTATTTGGAGGGGTGAGGAAAGACTTCACGTAGAAAATGGTGGCAAGTCAAATGGTGACTTGAAGAAGAGGCTGGAATGGAGTTTGAGTCAGGACACCACAGAAGCAGCTACATGGAGAGCCACTTGGTAACAGAAAATGAAGGTTGTACTCTTGAAACAGCAAGTGGTTTGTCTTGTTTCTAAGAGTGGTGTGTGGGGAACACAGAGGGTATACGGTGAATAGGAAGACTTGGGTCTCACGGATGAGTCCTGGAATGCCAGGCTGAAAGGTTTTCTCAATTTGTTTGGAACTGACTGGGGACATTGTCTGGTGAGTGGTGTTTTAGGACATTTTGGGGACAGTAGTATAGGGCTCTTCTATTATTAAAATACCTATATAAGAATTTTAAACTCTTTATCCTCACCTCTGTCTTGTGTTGTGAAATACTACTTTGTGTTTGCAGAAAATGCCTGTAACTTGGGCTCATTTACAAAGATGACATGTTTTATAAGCTCCTTGAAAACGTCCCATTCAGTGTGATCTGTATAGCATTTGCCAAAGCACCACATACATAATTTATAGATATAAATTTAATTAGTGATCTTTGATTTTTCATCGATTAAAAGAACTGGTGATGACAGTGTTTTCTGTGCCCCAAATTTGGATACAGTGGCCATGAGCAGCTATTGTTCCTTAGATCATTAAGCAACACAGGTGATTTGAAGGAGACCAGAGCTAGAACATTCATCTTCATAGAGCCAGAACCAAGGCAGAGAAAACCAGCAGTGAACAGGGCAGATTCGAGTGTTAGGAAACATCTCTAATTCTTTATGTCTGCATCCTCAGGAAATTCCCTCTTGACTCTGAAACTCTGAGGGATGCAGCTGCTGCTGTTGTCCCAAGGGTGTGGAGTCACTCATTGTGGCAGGGGTAGATGATGACGCAAAGGCATCTCATGTCTAGAGCTCTGTCTTGTTAGATCAAAGTGCCTGAAGCTTTCTCATAGACCTTCTTCTGTGAACCTCATCCTGAGTGCTCGCTCCTATTTCTACTCCTGGGACACGTGCCTGTGGCATGGTGTGGAGAAGCACAGTTTTGTGTGTCAGACAACCCTGAATTCTTATCTGCATTTCTCTCACTTACTCTATGTGTGACCTTGGGCTACATTTTCTTATTCATAAACTGGAGATAAAAATGCCTACCTCTTGAGAGGCAGTGCATCTAGAGGTTAAGATCACAGACTCTAGAGTCTGGGTTTGAAAGCCCAGATCTGCCACTTTCCCACTGTGGGAACCTGAGCCAGTCTTTCTGTGCTTCAGTTTCTTCCGCTGTAAAATGGAGATAATATGAGTATTGGCCTCACAGGATTATGATGAGTATGAGATGGCTTCACATATGTGTCTGAGGAGTACCCAGCTAAATATGTTAGCTACCAATAGGATGATTAATCAAGATAATCTATTTAAGGCACCTAGCAAAGTGCATTTGTCAGTGGATTCCAGAGCTGATAAAATATTAGAGGTGGGCAGAGGCCACTTAGTTCAATGCACTCGCCCACAAAATTGGGGACTCTGAATAGCAAGAATAGCAAAAATCGGAACTCTGTTATTGGCATCACGTCACCTCTGATGACTCTTCTATATTTTCAAGTAGGCCAACACTAGCTAGTATTTCGTATGCAGCGGACACTGTGTTAGATACGTTTAGTGCATTACTTCATTGAACGCTCACCATGGTGGTACTTTCTTTAAGC